TCCCAGCCACTCTAGAACTAGAAGAGCGGCATCCCATGGAAATGTTCTCATAGAAAACCGCAGGCCAGCAGTGGCGCAGCAGTTAAGGCAGCTGGACCCCACATGGCCAACAGCACAGTTCAAGTCCTGGACCCAACAACGAGAAAAACAAGTTGGGTGCGTGTGTGCTTAAAATTTTTAGAGAAGGGATTGTGGCATGACCATCCCTCCTGGAAGGTGATTTCTCACACCTCCTCAATCTCTCTCCAGCAAGCACACACGCCCTAAGAAAGGAAAGCAAAAATTGTTTTAAAAAGAGCAAAATTGTAAGGTAAGAAACAGCTCGTGTAACTACACCAACTGAAAAGAGAAAAGCAATAAATTGAATTCATAGGACAGTCGATGACACCCCGGAGGTTCCACAGGCCAGGATTCACGGTGCAATGAATGGGGTCAGTCCCAAGGGCAGAGGCAGAGCAAGGAGACATGGCTATGTGGGAGCCCACGAGCTGCAGAGGGAAAGCACGTCCGACCTCAAGACTGGGGAGACCAGAGAGTGGAACGGGAATCACAGAGGAAGGCAGAGACAACAGTGCGTGTTTTTGTTTTTGTTTTTTTTTTGTTTTTTTTGAGAGTTTTTTGCTATAGGGCACTTGAGCTCGCCAGAAAGACAGAGAGAGAGACAGAGAGATAGAAAATGAGAAATCACCCCCCCGGGGGGGATGGCCACACCACAATCCCTTCTCCTCCATTCTCCTCTCGGGATCTTGGGCATGCATGCACACACTCCCGGCGTGAGTTTAAGTCACCAGGATCAGGGCTCAAACCGCGGTCAGCTACATGGGAGTTCAGCGATATAACCATTATGCTAACTGCTGATCCCACAGTACATGTGCTTCTCACAGCATCCTGGGGCAGACTGGACTATGACATGGGCTTATTAAGACACTTGCTGGAATTTGCCTCAAGGTAAAAGAATTTTAAAAATTAGTAAGAGGGTCAGTAGGTGTCAAGGACTTAAGGCAGCTGAATCCCACATGGCTGATTCTGTGGTTCGAGTTCCAGACCTGGCGGCTTGAAAACCACGCTGTGCAAGTGTGTGTGTGTGCATGTCCAAAATCCTGAGAACGGAGAAGGGACTGCAGCATGGCAATCCTCCATGGGGCATGCTTTCTCACACTTGCCACCTCCCTCCCGTCTCTCTCTGACAAGCGTACTCACCTTATAGCAAAAAAAGAAGAAAGAAAGAAAGAAAGAAAGAAAGAAAGAAAGAAAGAAAGAAAGAAAGAAAGAAAGAAAGAAAGAAAGAAAGAAAACAACTAAAAGAAAAATGGACAAAAGACCGGAACCATAAAATTTCCCCAACAAGCAACAAAGCATGTGCACACTGCCCGAGCTCGCTGATCCCAGGGAAGTGGAGATTCGCAGTGTGACACACCTTTCTGTGTGGTGAACTGAGATGGGATCGACTGCCGGCGAGGGTGCACTTCGGGGCCACTACTTCCAAACAGGAGAGCTGACCTTGCACACACCCTGTGACTCAGGGAGTTCACCTGCACGCCCAAGGGAAACGCAAACACCCACCTTCCTCTTCAAGACAGACACGCTGCTCCCCTACACAGGCGCCCAGAGCCCCGGCCCCACACCCAGCACAGGAGTAACAGGAGAACACCAGCCACTGCTAACACGTGCGAGAGCCAGAGCAGGACGAAGCCTGCCATGCTGAAAGAAGGAAGCCACAAAATCACTACTTGTGCCTTATGTAAAGTCATTAAAAGTTTGTTTTTTTTTTTTTTTTTTAAAAAGCCTGTGGTGTTAGCAGTTGGCAGCTGCTAGCAATTGCTTTGGAGAAAGGGCACACAGGAGGGCTTCTGGGGGCTGCCACGTTCTCTTGCTGGTCTGACAGTGGTCACGTGGCATGCCAGTACCACGTGCACATCTCTGTGTGCGTGCTGTACCTAGTACAAACGCTACAGAACCCAGAATTTCCCAAAAACCTAGTACAAGGAAAACAGGCTCGGCTGCCCAGACTCTCGGGGTGAACCTGGTTAGTAAACAGAAAAGGGAGGCAGAAGATGGAAGTAAATGAATGAAAAGGAGAGACTGGCAGAGCTAGATTAGCACAGTGTTGGGAAAGGGTCTTGGAGGCCTGGCAGGTGGCATGGTGCTTAAGGTACTGGACTCCCACATGGCCAACCATGGTTTGAGTCCTGGGCCTGGTGGCTTGCTTTCTCACTCTCCCTCTAGTCAAATTAAAAAAAATAAGAAGAAGTAAAATTAAATAAGGTAATTCTTTTAAGAAAATAAGAAAAGGGTCTTGGGCCAACAAGTGGCATGGTGGTTAAGGTGCTGGACTCCCACATGGCCAACTGCGGTTCGAGTCTCAGACCTGGCAGCTTGAAAATCACACTCGGCACATGTGCATGCATGCCCCAAATCCCAGAAGAATGGAGGAGAAAGGACTATGGTGTGGCTACCCCCTTGGGGGTGGAGGGTGATTTCTCACTTTTCCTCTTTCTGTTAAACACATGTATGCTATGGCAAAAACCTTTTTAAAAAATTTTTTTAAGTCTTAAACTATGAAAAATGCTCAAGCTTATACTTGTAAGATGAGATAATAACAATTATAAGATGGCATCTTTTTACCAGATTCATGGACATCAGAAGTTTGATAATGTGGTCTACAAACTCACCTACACTGGGACACAAATTAACACAACCTCTATAGAGAACACTTGGTAAAACTTTCAACTTTGAAATACCCTTGCTGGGCCAGCTTGGTGGTATAGTTAAGATGGCCAGATCCCACATGGCTGTCTTTACAGTTCAAGTCCCAGACCCAGCGGCTGGAAAAACAGACCAGGAACATTTGCATGTACACCCAAAATCTCAAAAGGAGGGAGAAATGGAGGAGAAGTGATCGAAGCGTGGCCATGATCCTGGGGGTGCTCTAGGGCTCCCAGGTGAAGTCAAGCTGAAGGAGTTCTTCAGATTTGGCAAATGTAAAAAAAAAAAAAAAAAAAGAAGAAGAAAGAAAAACCTTTGTCTTAGCAATAGGGCTTCTATAAACTTATTACATCCTCTATTCTCACGAGAAATCATATATCCCCCTTGGGGCACGGTTGTGCTGTAATCCATTCTCCTTCACTGCTCTGCCTTGTCAGGATGTTTTCCAAGCTGCCAGGGCTAGGATTTGAACTCTGGTCAGCCATGTGAGTTCCAGCTCTGTTACCCACTAGGCTATGAGGCCAGCCCTGGACCTTTCCTTGCAGGAAAGACCTATAAGACACGTGGCTAAGTGATAAAAGCTCATTTCAGGAATACATGGATTTGGAGAGACGAAAAGTAGAGACACTAGTGACCCAACCAAAGGGGCCTCCTGGTGGCCGGGAAGCACTTTACCCTCTTTATCTTGCGATTTCTGGACCGCATGCATATGATACCTATTTGCAGAAGTCTAAAGCACACCCAGTCTACAGGAACTTTAGATTCCACCCTTTCAAGGACATGATCTTTCCAGAGGTATGAAAAGTACCGCTACCCCAAATGAGATCAAGACACTCGGGCCAGAGGAAATGTCTCCGAATGTCGGAAGACGTAGCCAAGGAGGTTACTAGCCACAGGCAGTACCGTGAGAAGCCACAGTGAGTGCAGAGGCACACAGACATGGTTTCTGAAATGGAGAGAGGGCTCTGGCTTACACACAGGGCAACTGATACAACAGGGACGCGACGCAAGGACGTCACATGACAGCTGTGGCTAACAGGGATGGGGCACCAAGACCGTCCAGGCAATCCGCAGGGCGTTTCACAGCATGTGCTCGACTCACCTTCCCCACGATCTAACGAAGCAGGTACCGAGGGAGGAAACAGCCCACTGGGGGCCTGCTCAAGGTCCTACAGTGAAGGGGGGGGCAGGACTTTGGGCAGGCCAGCTCCAGCCAAGCTCCTGACCTCTCCCCAACAGCTGCACCATCCAGACGGTGGGTGAGCCTGCGAAGTGCAGAAAACTGGGGATGGGCAGGGGGCAGCACCCACCAATGGCTCTCCCAGGCTCCCTTGGCACACGGGGGTCTGCTGCATTCATTCCCCGCCCCGTTCACTGGGTGACGGCTCGGGGTCTACCAGGCAACAGCGATGTGTCATTAGTCATCAGACTGGCCATCCCTCCCACTCTCCCCAGGCTCCCCAAGAGTTCAAAGTAGAAGTGGATTAAAATTTAGAGGATAATGGCAAAGGGGCTCGAGCTCTGGCTTACTACCCCGCTGAGGCCCTGTCCCAGGCGGCCACTTCCCGTCCAACCATCTCTAACTGTGCTTTAGACACACGTCTCACTTGTAAATGCTTTAAATGAAAAAGATCAAGATCCTACAAACTGTCATGCTGGAACCGCAGGTCAAATCCAACAGCCCTACAACGAGTGAATGTGAGGCTCTGAGCCCAGGACTGTCCCAAGGCCCCATGAGCAAAGCAGGGCCCAGAAGGGACAGGACGGCCAGACAGAGCTGCTCACAGCCCAGAGGGGGTAGGACAGCTGAACAGAGGTGCTCAGTGCCCAGAGCAGGCAGGGAAGCCGGACAAGCTCCCAGCTCAGAGCGAGCAGGACGGCCGGAAAAGCTGCTCCCAGCACAGAGGGGGCAGG